GTTTTGGCATTTACGACTTCGGCGGAGAGGCGATTTCATTGGTTTTTAGCGTACCAAATTACAACTAATTTCTAGCAAAGAATAAGAGAAACCTTGGTCGCTGACAGGTCAGTTAGGGATCAGTATACCTCACTGATTCTGGCATTAATTAATACCTAAGACGACCAATTTCAATTACATTTACAGCCCCGTAACATCAGTTACAGCCCTGCTCTTGTGCCATATTCCACTACGGGCTCACCATAGCCCGTGCTACGTTGAAGTTTTTGTTCTGTGTAACTGAATCTAAAATAACAACAACAATAACCATCTTCAGATCTTACGGGCTATTCATACCAGTGCCACTTAATGGGTGCCTTAATTTTCATCAATCAATCAACTACAGACAGATTCACGAAGCAGTTACGTACGTACTTACGAAAGTTTTCCTTCTTAGCATCTTCGTAGAGGCTACGCCGGTATTCAGGTAGGCATTTAAGTATCAAAATCTTCGTAAGTACACACCGTCGCGCTAAGGTCGCTCTTGACCACTAATAGCTTTACGTAAACTGGATATAACTCAATTTTTCTCTACTCCACAACATGGAGGATCGATTTTATTATAAACAAACATTTTAGCTGGCGAGTCTCATTCAAGAAGGAGTCCTTTGTTTTAGCTATATACACATTCTCTGCTTGAAACTTGTAGTAAATATGTCTTTTATGATATTAGAATTAGTTTTATAATAGCAAGGTATTATACCAGTAGTTATTAAGTAAGTAAACACTGGTGAACATGAAATATGAGAGAAGGGGATGAGCCCGGACTGGTGGGAGCATTTACTATCACCAAATGCCCCTGTTCACCTAGCAATAAGTATAGCTTGGGGTGTACCTTAGCTATACATACCCATTTTTAATTTATTTTGTTTGGTTTTATTTTGAAATTAAATCTGGGTGAGACATAAAAGAAAAATATGCTTCACAAATGATGTTAGGTAAGGGTAAGGGTAAAAACTTCATAAACTTTTGTCATTGTTTAGGATATATGAACTATTATGGATTGATAAAAAAGAGAGGGGGGGGGAAAGCAGGAGTCCAAGTTACGAGTCCTCTTCCTGTTACACAATTTGGCTGTGTATAACAATAAGTAAGTAACTATCTTATATATAATTGTAGCAGCTATGTAGGCTATGTAGTGTGTAACAATAAACCTAATTTTTTTTAATAGATAATGCACCTGTGAGTAAAACAAATCCTATCAGCTATAAAAAATATTGATCCAGTTATTTAAATAAAAAATATAATGCAACAAATATTTATGGGTTGTTTAATTAAACTATCATTTCTACTGTACATCCAAAGAAGTGAGCCATACTTCACAATCAGATGATCCAAAAGAAATACAGTATTAATAACATTGTCGTAGTCTTTTCATCTTCTAGTGTGTGTGGTTTGGTCAACATTACATATCAATATGAGATCTTAATGATCCATGGTTAACATTTATGACTTAATGAGGATAATACTGGTAATACTAAATATTAGCCCCCCCCCCACTAGCAACATCTGGCTACAGCACAAGAATATCTTCCAATATTCCTGAGTGTATAAAGTAATTACAGAGCTGATGACGGACCGAAACGTCGTCGTCCCTTTACCTTCTAGTGTGTGGTCTGGTCAACATACTTTAGCCACGTTATTGTGACTCATCGCCTGCGTAATTGCAGAGCTCAAAGTACCTCATACCATTTGGTCTGAAGTCACTGATATCAGGGCAACCACAGATATAGTGTTGGAGAGTATGTCCTCTCAAGTAGGACTGAAAACAGATGTTTTTTTTCACCCAGATGGTTATAAACCCATGGAACCGCCTACCCGCTGAAGCCGTGAATGCCAAAATCCAGCTAGAAAATATCATTAGGATAATTGGCGGAACCTTTAACAAGCCGCCGGCTTTCTGTCCTCGTCGAGCCCACTAGATACTTAGTGGCCCTTGGGTAAATTTAGGTAAATACATACGTAAATAAATACCATCGGTTTTCAAATCTTGGGAGCGACAACGAAAGCCACACAATATCTCTTAGAATTACGTAGGTAAACAAAAAATATGACATTTTTGTTTACTACAATGTCGGTGCTGGCTGTACAAGTTGAAAAACATAGTTTTACTTCAAAATATATTAATTTTATAAGAAAGTTCGACGTAAATAGGTGGCAAGTGAAAACGGATAAGCTCCGATATGCCAACGTCGTGATTGGCTACAGCTGTAAGGTGAAAAATGTTACCTTCTCTCTGATTGGCCAAACGAAAAGTCCTAGTAACATCTAGCGAGACTTTAGTGAAGTTGCTAACATCTTCCTGAGATATCATTCTGAATTGGACGTAGGAACGTTCTTAAGCAATACTTAAGAACCTTCGTAGCACACTTACGAAGAAATACATGGAGATTCGTGAATCTAGTTCTTGGGCAGCTTCTCGCCGATGACGGCCCCCGCCTTCCACTCAACACTCTCCTCACTCTATATCACAAATAACTTTACTGTAAACCTAACCTAATACATGTTAACTGTAGCGGTGTGTATTTGTTCTCTGTGTATGTAAACCGGACATTCTGTACACCCGGGTTTATTCCCGTATGCGTGAAAAACATCCGTTCAATGTTTTACACTGTGGCCTGTTGAGCTTGACGCTATTGCCTCTTGCGTGTTACTTTTATAAGTTTTAAACAAGTTGTCAGGATAGATATCCTTAAATTTGTCCGTATTTTAAAGGTGTGTATGAGAGGAGCCGGGCCATGTCTGGTGATAAGGGTTAGCCCAGTCGCCCTTATCCGTTCCTCCGTGAAAGAGTTGACAGTTCTCGGATGATTTTTGTCGGTTTTCGTAAAACGTTTTACAAGTCAGTTGTATCCTTTTGAAGAATAAATTTCCGTGTTTGGATCTAGTCCAGAACCTAGATTCACGAAGCCCCATGTATTTCTTTGTCAGTATGTGTGCTAGGAGGGTTCCTAAGTACCGGCTAAGAACGCGCCAAAGGGCGATTCAGAAAAGTAAACTTACAAAGATTTTTAAGTAGTTCACTTAGGTCTCGCTAGTAGTCACTAGGCTTCTAGTTTGGCCAATCAGAGAGAAGGTAACATTTTTCATCTTACAGCTGTAGCCAATCACGACACTGGCATATCGGAGCTTATCCGTGACCACTTACTACTTATTTACGTCGAATTTTCTTATAAAATTAGTACATTCCGAAGTAAAACTATGTTTTTCAACTAATACAGTCAGCACCGATATTGTAGTATACAAATATGTTATAGTGTATAACGAGGAAACAACAAAGAGATAGTGTATGCAAACGAGGAGTCACAATAACGTGGCTGAAATATGTTGATCAAACCACACACTAGAAAGTGAAGGGACGACAACGTCCTCCAGCTCCCACAAGATGAGACGCCCCGCTCCCACAGCTGGTGGCCCAAGATGAGACGCTCCCACGCTGGTGGCCCACACGCCCACTCCCACAGCTGGTGGCCCAAGATGAGACGCCCCTCTCCCACAGCTGGTGGCCCAAGATGAGACGCCCCGCTCCCACAGCGCAGCTGGTGGCCCAGATCCCACAGCTGGTGGCCCAAGATGAGACGCTCCCCGCTCCCACAGCTGGTGGCCCAAGATGAGACGCCCCGCTCCCACAGCTGGTGGCCCAAGATGAGACGCCCCGCTCCCACAGCTGGTGGCCCAAGATGAGACGCCCCGCCCACGCTGGCCCAAGATGAGACCCCCCGCTCCCACAGCTGGTGGCCCAAGATGAGACGCCCCGCTCCCACAGCTGGTGGCCCAAGAGCTTCGATTTACTAGATGCAAACCCCGTCCCACAGTACATAATTCCCAGATATACTGACCAGAATTCCCTCCCCCAATAAGTGGAAAAAATTGTGTATATATGTTAAATATATATTTATATATAAATCAACAAATAATAATAATAAAATAAATAGCCTTAAACAGAACAACATAACATGTGTGGAAGCATCCGAGGGTGTACATATGAATGCTACACAGTATTCATCTATGGACATCCATATATGGTGCAACACATGTGAAGAACCTCTCACACACTCACAGCTCCTTGACAAGAGAGAGAGCAAGCTTAGCTTAGCTGCCAACACCCACACATCGTGTCAGCAAGGCGGACAGCCCGCCTGCTTTCATACCTCTCACAGTATTTCCCACTTCTACACTTTCCCTTCACCCATGCCTCTCCTTCCTCTTTACCCCTCCCCCTCCCCCCCCCCCCAAAAAAAAAAGGCCTCACCACTTTACTGGGTGACCATCGCTGGGCACGAGGGATGGCTCTGTGCAAGTCATGAAGAGATAGAGAGATCTGGGCAGTGCGTCCAGCAGAGTCCTGTACTGGAAGTGGGGAGCCTGAGACAGTGGGCGAGAGGCTCTGGCATTTGAGTCCTGTGGCAGTGGGTAGTTTGTTCCAGGAGGAGGGTGGGGGGAGCTGGCATTTGAGTCCTGTGGCAGTGGAAGAAAGAGAGAAAATGATAAGTTATTATCAAGCGAAAGCAGCAACCCATTACGACTATATAGCACTGGGAAGGGATCAGGATAAGGATTTAGGATGTGATGGGGGAAGGAATGGTGCCCAACCACTGAAGCGAGACCGTCGCTCCCAAGTGGCTGGGGGGGGGAGAGAGAGAGAGAGAGAGAGAGAGAGAGAGAGAGAGAGAGAGAGAGAGAGAGAGAGAGAGAGAGAGAGAGAGAGAGAGAGAGAGAGAGAGGAGAGAGAGAGAGAGAGAGAAGAGAGAGAGGAGAGAGGAGAGAGAGAGAGAGAAGAGAGAGAGAGAGAGGAGAGAGAGAGAGAGAGAGAGAGAGAGAGAGAGAGAGAGAGAGAGAGAGAGAGAGAGAGAGAGAGAGAGAGAGAGAGAGAGAGAGAGAGAGAGAGAGATTAAAGAGAGAGAGAGAGAGAGAGAGAGAGAGAGAGAGAGAGAGAGCTCTCTCGGCTCCGAGAGAGCGTAGCTCTCCCCATCTGGCCCCACTGGCTGTGAGTACGACGCTCAGATGTTGGGGTCGGCGGCGTTGTAGAAATACAGGTGCTGCTGCTGGGGAGGAAGGGGCAGTGTGGGTGTGCATGCGTGCTTGCGTCACCCAGGTGAACCATATTGCGTCATTTGTTTGGAAGGTGCAAGCGGGAGGGGGGGGGGGGGTAGGGAGGGGAGTACGTCAAGTCGACTTGAAGTTGTGAATTGGTGGTGTTGTTTCCCGTATTGTACACCCACGCGCACTCGTGTCCTTTCTCCATTTGACGGCTGATTAAAGATACCCGGTCTATCACCAGACGGGCTTCACGTGTGTGTGTAAGAAGCAAGACGAGTGATAAGGTATCTGGAGGTGTGGGTGAGTGTGTGTGCCGTTAGCGAGCAGCCTAAGACCTTAGGCCATCCACGCAACCGAATCAAGAACAGGAGGCAGCAGCAGAAGTAGGAGATAGGAAGATCTAGGAAGACGACGGTGTCACCACGGCCCGCCCACTACTACCACGGCTCCCTGCTGACGAAGGGAGTGGGTGCAGTTTACACCCCACGCCCACTTCACGCCCACGCCACCTACTCCCCAACATTAAAGGTGAGTTGCTTTCATCAGTTAAGTATGTGCTTCCAACAGATGCATAAGGTCTTGGGGGGGGAACTCGCAACTTACCTAAGGTCAGAAAGAACCCACAAAACTTGTCTATGGGTAGATCAAAGTTGGAGTGAAAGCGCTCAAGTTACAAGTTGAAACATCAAACAAAACTTGACTGAAGGTAAGAAAGCGCTTTTAAAGCTTAAACTAGATGAAACCCACCAAATATGACACTAAAGCTGACGAGAGGTGAGTGGTGAGAAGGTTCACACAACCTACCAGACACATGTTATTCAGGTCAGTAAAGGAGGGAGGGGGGGGGGTGGGGGGAAGGACAGGCCGCTTGTTTTCATGATTCGCGCTTTAGTGTCTTGTCGAAGGCGGGATACACTTACGGAGGTAAACTACTGACCTTCCTAAGGATGCAACCCACAACAGTCGTCAAACTCATTATTTATTGCTAGGTGAACAGATGCATCAGGTGTAAAGAAAGATGACCACACGTCTCGCTCTGTGAGGGAATCGAACCTTGGTTCAATTGGTGTACGGATCACCTGTATACCTTCGCTCAAAAACAGTCACACACACACACACATATTGAGATAGAAAAAGACTTGGGGGTTGATATCACGCCAGACCTGTCTCCTGCAGCCCATATCAAGAGGATAACATCAGCGGCATATGCCAGGCTGGCCAACATAAGAACGGCATTCAGAAACTTGTGTAAAGAATCATTCAGAACTTTGTATACCACATATCCAATCCTGGAGTATGCAGCCCCAGCATGGAGTCCATATCTAGTCAAGGATAAGACCAAACTGGAAAAGGTTCAAAGGTTTGCCACCAGACTAGTACCCGAGCTGAGAGGTATGAGCTACGAGGAGAGACTACGGGAATTAAACCTTACTTCGCTGGAAGACAGAAGAGTTAGGGGGGACATGATCACCACATTCAAGATTCTCAAGGGAATCGACAGGGTAGATAAAGACAGGCAATTTAACACAATGGGCACATGCACTAGGGGACACAGGTGGAAACTGAGTGCCCAAATGAGCCACAGAGATATTAGAAAGAACTTTTTCAGTGTCAGAGTGGTTGACAAATGGAATGCATTAGGAAGTGATGTGGTGGAGGCTGACTCCATACACAGCTTCAAGAGCAGATATGATAGAGCCCAATAGGCTCAGGAACCTGTACACCTGTTGATTGACGGTTGAGAGGCGGGACCAAAGAGCCAGAGCTCAATCCCCGCAAGCACAATTAGGTGAGTACACACACAGACGCAGACACACACAGACATATATATATATATATATATATATATATATATATATATATATATATATATATATATATATATATATATAACTAAGTTGTTATATATGCCTGGTTGCATATATGCCTGGGGACCATTCAGGCTAGTTCGCATATATATATATTATATATATATATATATATATATATATATATATATATATATATATATATTGCATACATAAGTACACATACAACCTTGCGGAGGTGGTTGGAGGCGTCATGAGATCCATTTAAGAGTCGCAGAATACAAATTGTAATGCATGTTTATTCATAGGTATTGGCAAGTGTAACCAAGGCCTTCTTACAACCTTCCAAGTTTGGATAATATTGTACCCGAGGACCTGTAGTGTCTCCCACCGTCTAAGTGGGATTGGATATCAGGTTAGTATATGGTATAAGGAAGTGACACACCTATGGAGTGATGATAACATAAGGAACGCAGTGGTACTCAATCATTCTCTGGAATTCTATAATTCGAATATCCTCCAGGATGATGAGATGTATCATTAGAGGCCTCCTGGGTTGCCCCAGTTGATCAATCAAACTATTTGTAATAGCTCGCAGTCCAACGTAGACGCCACAGCCCACGTGATCAGACACTTTTCATTATTCTCTGTTGATGACTGTTTAGGGCATGGCATAGGCCACATAGGCCTATGGATGTTATGTTGGGAGAATATTGGAAAGTTTCAGACTTGAAGATTTTCATATCTCAAATTATTCGTCAGATTTGACTGAGTATTATGATCATTATCAATTATCACTTGATATATAATATATTACTAGAAGGAACATCCGGCATTGTCCAGGTATGTTTATCTGCCTCCCCCCCTTCCCCCCCGTCTCTCACTCTCTCTCGACAAAAAAGTCATTCTCTTTATAGCTATTGATAAATTATTTGGTATCTTCTAATATTATTTCACTATTACTTTTTAAGTGAAACTGTTTGAGACATTCCTCCGTGTCTATTGTTTTCGTAATAAATTATATCCGAGTGCTCATTTCTGGAATGGGTTTCCAGCACTGTTTAAGAATAGGCCGTATGTAGATATTGCTCAAGGTTCGAACTCAATTGCACGTGTATGTAATGTGAAGCAGAAGGGCGTGGCGTGGGGGGAGGGGTGTGGTTGTGTAAAACAACACACTAGAGGGCACAGATAAACATGTACAGGGTTTCTCAACGTGATGTTTATTCGTGTGACCATTCTCGGGTGTACATCAGACCCCGCATGCAGAGGTTACCGCATACTGAGCCACGGGACACTATTATACACATTTATGGAGTGGCGGATTTGCAAATGTCAAGGGTTTAGACGGGATCTGTCAGATGTGTCTGGTCTGGCTGGGATGATTGATCCTGCGTGGTGGTGTGGTGTTCCTTGGGTGGGAGTATACCTGGAGAGGATTACCTTGAGATGATTTCGGGGCTTAGCGACCCCGCGGCCCGGTCGTCGACCAGGCCTCCTCGTTGTTGGACTGGTCAACCAGGCTGTTGGACGCTGCTGGTCGCAGCCTGACGTATGAAGCACAGCCTGGTTCAGGGAATTCTTCTACTCCCTGAGCCCGGCCTGAGGCCAGAGGCCAGGCTCGACTTGTCGTAACTTGGTCCAACAGGTTGCTTGGAGCTTGGAGTTTGGTTGGTTGCTTGGAGCGACCCGCAGGCTCACATATCTACTACATTCTGGTTGGTCCGGCACTTCTTGCAAGAACTTATCTAAGTGCCTTTTGAATACATCCACCGTATTCCAGGGGCCTCGTAGCCTGGTGGATAGCGCGCAGGGCTCGTAATTCTGTGGCGCGGGTTCGATTCCCGCACGAGGCAGAAACAAATGGGCAAAGTTTCTTTCACCCTGAATGCCCCTGTTACCTAGCAGTAAATAGGTACCTGGGAGTTAGTCAGCTGTCACGGGCTACTTCCTGGGGGTGGAGGCCTAGTCGAGGACCGGGCCGCGGGGACACTAAAGCCCCGAAATCATCTCAAGATAACCGTTGTTCCAGCAACATTTCTAATGCTTGCTGGGAGGGTGTTGAACAGCTGTGGACCTCTGATGTTCAGACAGTGTTCTCTAATTGTGCATATGGCACCTCTACTCTTCACTAATTTAATTCTGCTTTTCCTTCCGTATTTTTCGTTGCAGCATGTTGTTATTCTACTGTGCAAATTTGGGACCTGGCCCGTCAGTCTCTTCCATGTACAGTATATATTAATTATTTAATACCTCTCTCGTCTCCTTTCCGGGATGTGGTGTTTGTTGGGTACCTGCTTGATGGGGTTCTGGGAGTTCTACTCCCCAAGCCCGGCCCAAGGCCAGGCTTGACTTGTGAGAGTTTGGTCCACCAGGATGTTGCCTGAAGCGGCCCGCAGGCCCACATACCCACCACAGGCCGGTTGGTCCGGCACTCCATGAAGAAAACTATCTAGTTTTCTCTTGAAGATGTCCACGGTTGTTCCCACAACCGGAATACCTCCAGCGAGTATTTCTTATAGTCGCTGGGAGGATGTTGAACAACCGTGGACCTCTGATGTTTATACAGTGTTCTCTGATTGTGCAAATGGCACCCCAGATTTTCATTGGTTCTATTTCGCATTTTCTTCAATATCGTTTACTCCAGTATGTTGTTATTTTTCTGTGTAGATTTGGGACCTGGCCTTCCAGTATTTTCCATGTATATATTATTTGGTATCTCTCTCGTCTTCTTTCTAGTGAGTACATTTGGAGAGCTTTAAGGCGATCCCAATAACTTAGGTGCTTTATCGCGTCTATGTATGCCGTATATGTGCTCTGTATTTTCTCTATTTCAGCAATCTCTCCTGCTCTGAAGTGGGAAGTGAGTACTGAGCAGTAATCAAGACGGGACAACACAAGTGACTTGAAGAGTACAACCATTGTGATGGGATCCCTAGATTTGAAAGTTTTTGTAATCCATCCGATCATTTTTCTGGCTGACGCAATATTTGATTGGTTATGCTCCCTAAACGTTAGATCGTAAGACATCATTATTCCCAAATCCTTTACAAGTTGCTTTCCTACTATGGGCAAATTTGATTGCGCTTTGTACCCTGTATTATGTTTAAGGTTCTCATTTTTACCGTATCTGGGTACCCGAATTTATCACTGTAAAACGTCATGTTATTTTCTGCTGCCCAGTCGAAAACTATTATTATCTGCTTGTAGTTTTTCAATGTCTTCAGCAGAGGCAATTTTCATGCTGATTTTTGTGTCATCTGTAAAAGATAATACGAAGCTGTGCCTTGTATTCTTGTCTGTATCTGATATGAGAATAAGGAAAAGCAGTGGTGCAAGGACTGTACCTTGAGGTACAGGGCTTTTAACTGCGCTTGGACTTGATTTTATATGGTTGACTGTTACTCTTTGTGTTCTGTTCGGCAGAAAACTGAGTATCCAGCGTCCTACTTTACCAGTTATTGGGTGTGGTGTTTCTGGAATTGTAAGGACCCATAGCCTCGGAGAAGAAAATGAAGTATATTCAGAGAAGACCTTCTGGATTCTCACTAAACACTTTAATATTTTCTTCTCCTACCACCCCCCATTCTTTTTGTATATATACATATATATTTGTTTTATTTAAGCTTTGTTACAAAAAGGAGTTACATATAGGGTACAAAGATGTTTATCATAAATTGTCGAGTTCCTCCAGCTCCTCATATATATATGCAGAATAAC